TCTCTTTTTCCTTTGGCTCCACCCATATGAATTATTTCAATTATTCACTTTCAACCAAAAAATATCTAGCGGGGTGGTCCACGCAGCTTCACCTTTTGTATTTTCTTAATATAATGCCTTTCCCCCCTAATACCCCCATGAGAAACAGTCTAGCCACCTTTCAAAACAAGCTAGCTAGTATTCATTATTCAATCTACACATACATATTCGTTTTCCAATTTTTCTTATTTGACAGACTTTTATGAATTTTCTTATTTGCATTTGATGTGAAAATGAATTATAGAGCAGCGGTGAAAGCAGAACGATAGTCACATGCAATGTCTGTATTCTGCAGTAGTAACTGAGCAAGCTTTTGTTCTATGAAGCTTCCATTCAATAAGAACCCCAAATATTTGCATTTATATATAAAGCAGTGGCTGTCCCACTTATATTATTTAAGTATTGATGTGGAGCTTCAAGATGTTATTGGAGGTTTGCAGGAAAAACATAAACGTAAACATATAATAAAAAGGACATAGATGTCTTGTTCTGAAAGAAATAGTTAAGTTTTATTAATAAAGTACAATGCGCAACATTGATTAATTTTCTTAGTATCTAAACATATCTATAATTCTATGTACATGCTTACAGTATTTATTTAACAACACATCCCTACACCTCAACCCTCATCTAGAACAAAGAGCCCACATTAATAAAAACAAGTTTTGTTTTATTCTTCTTAATTAGTTATTTATTGTCCATGTATAATTACACCTTTTATGCTGCTGCTGCTTATCGGTGCTAATTAATTGAATCAGTTCTTGCCGATATCTGGAATCATTAAAGACACAAATAGAATTTCATGCTATTTTAACAATATTCTTTTCTAATCAAAGGTTGATTGCGAAATGCAGCCAATCAGAAATAGAAAATCTAGCTTATGCTAATAATGACAACTTTAAAATATCATTGAAAGGTTAAAGTCGGTTGTTCACATCGATTGTGATGATTTTATCAGATTGGGTTCATGATTTTATATGATCTATGCAAATTTGACATGGGACCCATCATTTTTATCTTGAATAGTTGTTTTTGGAGGTAAGAACTTGAAAATTATTAACAATGTCATTAAAATAATAAGCCACACAGGGCTGTCCCCGAATCACCTCTTCTGATCCCTATAACTTATAAAACTATATCTATCACCGATGCGGTGAAGTGGTGATTTTGGAAGATCAGTGAGATTAGGGTTTTGGTCAACAAGAGATTCACTTGTTGATTTATCCGTTTGAAAATTCAGCGACCGACCCAAGAAAGTTGTGGATACGTTTATCTTAAAAGCAATGAAGGATATCACGATTAAGGATACTGGTTTGACAACGAATTCTGGAGTTCTAGTGGCCACAACTTTCATTTGTTTTGACAATTTTGTTGTCTTCTCCTTCGTGCAATTCACATGGATGGATCTTTTGCTTTCTTGTTTTGTTGATCGATGATTGTTCAAGTTTCCATGTTGTTTACGTCATGTTTAGTTAATGAATTCTTTTTGTCTGGTGCAAATCAATTCTCATCAGACAATAAAAATACTCCATAAATTAACGATATAAACCAATAATTACAAAATCTCCGTGAATTTTAAAGCTTTTTAATTTGATTATGTATAGCTGTTAAGAGATTATAAACAACACTCGTTAAAGTGTGTTTAATCATCAATAGAAAATACATGGAACGGACTAGTGGTTACTCATAGCATACTCGTCTGCTAATAAAAATTAGGATAACCAAATGATAATTCTATTTCTTTTATTATTTTTATGGAGAGATACAAAAATATACTATTTATCTACGAAATTACTTTGTATTCTACCTTCTTTTTTCACATTTGACCTTATGTATAAAATACACCTTGGAAGAATCTTTCGGGACATTTGGATTCTCTATCTTCAAAGCGTTAGTTAAGGTTTTGCAATTGTTTGTAAGCTAATTAATAGTGAAGTTCCGGATTTCAGGGCTCATAGACAAGCAACCTACTGGAAACCACAAGATTAATTATTAAATAAAAAGAATTTATATCTGATAGATTTAGAAGCAAAGAATACTTTGGAAATCATTCTATTAACTTTTCTTGTTTGAGATGGAGTGTGGGGCTTTCTGTTTTTTCTCTTTCATGAAAATAGTTTAATAAACAAAAGACAAAATATATGCTTACGTCATTAGTTATATATCCAAGATGACATTTAGTTATCTTACTTAATGACTCAATAATTTGAAATTAATAAGAAAATCATTATGTTATTTAGTTTTGATTGTTGAAGTTTTTGTATCGATACTTTTCTTACCTTCTCTTTGATGGAAAAGTAGCACCAACTTTATTTATTTGATGTTTTCCTTCCTCTTAACAATTGCCCATGATAGCTTTTCACACAGAAGAGTTTGAAAGTTTATAAAAATATTTTAATAATTCAATTTATATTTCTTGCACGTTAGAATTTCTCTTCAATAACCAAAAATGCTATTCACATTAATTATCTTAACTTCAACTTAGGAAAGACAAATAATAAAAAGCACGAGTTTTGAAAATGACGCGGATTCTCTTGATTAACTTTAATTAGAATTTAAGGAAAAATGTACTTACACTCCTTATAGTTTCACTTACTTAGTATTAAGTCTTTAACCATTTATAATTAAGTATTTAGATTTTCCCCCTCGAATTTAATACTTAAATCATAGATAATTTATAATTCTATTCCTTTTCATTGTATTTTAACCAAAATTTTGTTAAAAAAGTGATTGCATTTACTTCTTATCAGTATTTTTATCTCTACGCTAAGCATAAAGCATATATTTGAGTTTTTATCAAGGCAATGTACAATTCGTTGCACGATAAAATTAAAAAAATTATGAAAATTGTAATAATAATTACAGAACTTGTATACTGTAGGAACCAATCAGAAAATTTTAAATTATAGAAAATTGAATAAAAAGATCAAAAGCATATCTACCAAGGAACTTAATATCTTTATCTATAGCTCAAGGTCTATAAAGAACATTTTGCAACGTTTTAAAGTTATGTTAGTTTTATGGTTAGGCATTAGTTACTTCAGAGGGGTTAAATTAATGTGATTTTACCTCACATGTGTGGACAGAAAATATTGTGAATATATATGTAAATGCTGGTAAAAGATGACATCAGTGTCAGTACTAAACTAACATTACTGATTAATAATATAATGCAAGTTGGAACTAATTAATAAAATAAAAAGTGATGTTGTACCAGCAGTTGTAGGCGTAAGGATATATTAATTTGTGGTTGTAAGCTTCCCATTTAAGCTTTCGGCTTTTCAAATTAATGAATGGGATTTTCGTCCTAGATTTGCTCCTCTTTTGTTAATGTAATGGGTCCTCCCTGAATAAGACAATAAACCCTAAAAAAGTGCTTTGTTAGTTGCGTATCTTATTCTAGGCTTAATAGGATGATGTGAATATTGGGTTTTTATTTCTAAGTAAGTTATAACAAATTCAGAAAAAGGTCGGGATAAGCCATAACTTCTTTTAAATTAGATAGCGGGATTTTTTTTTTAAACATGATATGTGAAAAATCATCAACTTCTATTTTCACTTTTTAGATAGCTAGCTAGACTCAAACCATGCCAAGCTTATGTATTGTTTAGATTCCTATAAATTACTCTCTCCGCTTCTGGTGGACGATCGATAACTCTATTACATGATGTGTTCTCAAGTTGTTTTGCATATATGTATGAGATTGTTTATATATATGTTGATCATATATACGAGTATTTGTGAGAAGTTTATGAAGAAACATGATATAGATATACATTATATTGAGTAAATTAGGCAAACAAGCTAAGAAGCTGTGAAAAAAAGATTATCCTGAAGAATGGTGGAGCTGTTGTGGGGAGAACACAAATGATTAAGTGTTTGATAAGGACAGCTTGGAGGACTGAGAAAGCCTCCACATGGCAAAAAGGTAATGATACCAAATGTCTTAGCAGACTTTGCACCAAACACAAGTCTCTGCGTGGCCAAAACTATGTGACATTCATTTTTGTCTCTCTGTGACGATGCTCCACTTGGTTTACTCATCAGCTGGCAAGAGAGATATATGGCTCGCTCCCTCGCTCGATCGCTACAAATTAACAAATATTATATACACGTATATGTATGGTTCTTGAGAGGTAATTTCCCTTTCTAGCTGTGCACCTTTACTATTTGGTGTGGCCTAGCTCTCTATATATATATATATATATTATAGCTCTCTCCCTAGCTAGTCTACTTCCACTCCAAGGTTGCCTACTCTTCAATTATTACTGCTGCTTAATCAACAAACATTGCCACTTGAGCCTTTGATTAATCATGGATAATTTAATTCAGAAGTTTAATCTGCAGTTAACTGTAATCTATTTTAAGATTTAAATATACTGCCACAGGCCTTGGATATCAGCTAGGTCATTTGAATTGAGTGGACCATTAACTCAATCCAACTTAAGATTAAATAATCTACAAATTGCTGGATCAACCTCAACACAAAGACTATGGCATATTGTTCGTGACCATTAACAACTATCGCTGACTACAGATTACCGTGATGTGTGAATTATAGTCACGTGCGTTGATTACACAAGAAGAAGAAACAGGAATTAATTAGTGTGGGATAAAGAGGAACAGAAGGTATAGTGAAAGGGTTGAAGTGGTGAGAAAATGAAGGCTTAGGGCATAATATGGCGGTGGGAGAGAGGAGGGAGGGTGGGGGTGGCGTGAAAACTTGGTGTCACGCCGTCCAAACAAAAATCTTTTGCCTTCTGATATCTATGTGCCTTCCCCACGCGCAATCAATGCCTTCCTCTGCCACACCCTCCTTATATATATTTATCACTCTTCTGCTTCTTTTCTCAACAACACCTTTCGTCCTTCTGTTCACATCTCCCTATATATATACACACCTCCTTTCTCTCTTTATTTTACACAAAACATTCACCTCTCTCTCTCTCTCTCTCTCTTCTTTTTAGCCCCTTCCTTCCTTTCAGTGCCTCAGGCAAGCTCAGGAACGGAAGAAGATCATGACAGCAACCCAGTTTTCCGTGAGTACTCACTATTATTTATACTCTGAAATTTTACGTTTTTAATCCAAGTACAAATTGACGTGGCTTATACCACCCGAAGCCGGAGTCGTATCTAATTTCTATTTACCAAATCCTTTGGTGGGATTCCCCCGGGGAACTTGATCAACCTTTTGCTGTGCTTTCTGTTCCTGAAAACATTGTAGCTTATTGTTTCTCTTGTGCATTGCATTTATTCTTTTCTTTGTATTCGGATCAATGCGAGAGTCTTCCTTACTGTTTCCTCATTACTTAGATAGTTAGTATTCAAATGGGGTATGATTAGGGTTCGTTGACTCTACAGGATAAGAGTCCTTCACGTAGCGATTGTGTCTTTCGAAATTTCCGAAATTTCATTAGCTGCTCTTGAGATGATAGTGGAACTTGTCTAGAACAAGCGATGTATAATGCTGTTTAGGTGTGAATGCGGGGTGATTCCTTGTTGCGGATAAATGACTGTAAAATAATTGTCACCAGAGAGACGTTTTTCTTTATGCCGCAATAAAAATATTTTAATTAATTACTGGAATGATGGTATGTTTTTAAGTTTGTTAATTAACACGAGAAATATGGAGTTTTATACTTAATTTTGTTTAATTCATCGTTATTTAAAAAGCTTAACCGTGTTTTTGTAAATATTAATTAGTTACCCTTAGTTATGCAGCTTGATCGGTCTTCACTGATTAGTATTTTTCTGTTCAATTTTACTCTATATATATATATATATATATATATTATATAAAGAAACAGTTATATTTAAATTAGTTTGGATAAGTTAAAAGACCATGAAGGTGATATAAATAATATTATATATGCCAGAGGCGGAGGTCTTTATCCACCACCAGCCACGGCTTGAGAGAGTAATAGTGCACTGCACTCAAAGAAATGTGTCATGCTTGTGCCAGCAAAGTCAAGCTTTACGGCCAACTTTTGTGTTCACCATACTTTTTTCTCAAGTTCATGCAACTTATTAATTAAAACCAATTAGTATATAGGACAAAATAGAACTAGGGCTTCTTAGGATTAATAATAACATGCCCATATATATATTGTTTGTTAAATCTGTCTCATTAATGGTGGGTTCCACTCTTGGTCTGCCAATTTTGTGTTTGCACATGGTGCCCAATTGTTGGTCCAATATATATAACAAAATTTCATTACCACCATCATGATTACTTCTACTACTACTACACACACACGCATCTATATGTCTGTTTTCAACCCTAGTTACTTTTTATAGAGCCATAAGGCTGTAAAACTATGATGACGATGGTTAAGATAAAGAAAGAAGTAAAGCTTTGATTATTTGGGCCATTTTGAATTAATTATAATAATAAACCCAAGCTCCTATGCATCTGATCAGTGCAATTATAGTGATTGTTTTTGGTTTCAGGAGAGATCAAGCATGGAGATGGAATCCTGTGTTCCGCCGGGGTTTAGATTTCGTCCGACAGAGGAAGAACTTGTAGGGTACTACCTCAAAAGGAAGATAAACTCGTTGAAAATGGATCTAGATGTTATTGCAGAGATCGATCTGTACAAAATTGAACCCTGGGACATTCAAGGTAGTGTAATAAACCAATAAAAGATGTGATTAGAAGGAGTGTGTGTGTGTGTGTGTGTGCTGGAAATGAATGTATGAACACTTAGGTGAATGGTGCAGATAAATGCAAGATGGGGTACGAGGAAGAGAAGGAGTGGTACTTTTTCAGTCACAAGGACAAGAAATACCCAACAGGGACGAGAACAAACAGAGCGACAGCGGCAGGATTCTGGAAAGCAACGGGGAGGGACAAGGCAGTGATGTCCAAGAAGAACAGAATCATAGGCATGAGGAAGACCCTCGTCTTCTACAAGGGACGTGCCCCTTATGGCTCCAAGACCGATTGGATTATGCATGAATTTCGCCTCCAAACTTCCCAACATGCCCCTCCTCAGGTTTCTGTCCCTTTGACTTTTATAATCATGATCATAATCTTTCTCATGTGGCTTTATAAGTAGGATACACACACAAGTAGTTATAATAAAAACCATACATTCAAACTCGTATTACCACCTTTTTCTAAAAGGCCCTTTAATTAGCCTTTTCCATCCGAAGCCCCATGTTCAAAAGCAAACGTAACCACAACCATGAAACGTTCATATGTACTTTTTTTTTTTGGTGGTATATAATCAACCTTTGGATATAAATATATATTTATATATATGATAATTAACCTCTGCATATTCGGTTGATTTTATTTATTTATTAGAGTTAAATTTATTTAAAATTTTAAGTGCAGGAAGTCATTATTCTCACAAAGGAAGATTCAACCACCTCAAAAATATTCTGGCTGGCAAAATAATAATAATAAAAAATGCGAAATAGATTTGTATTAGTCTAATCATTTTAACATTCCACACGGGTAGTTCTTTTTATTTTTACAGTCTCCATAAATCATGCGTTTGATAATTTCAATAAAGTCCAAAAGAAGAAAGTTTGTCAAATGTACTGGACTATGAGTAGCTGAGCATGTTCATTTCATCTTAAAAAAATAAAATAAAATAGATCAATATCTAATATGTGAAAAATCTGAAGGCGAAAGTTTATTATGCAGGAAGAAGGATGGGTGGTGTGCCGAGCATTCACGAAACCTAGTCCTACTCAGCCCAGACAAAGTTTCGAATGTTGGGGCAGCCAAGCACACTTTTCAGGGACCAAATAAGCAGCATTACAAGCCCTCCATCAATATCATTTACAAGCGAAACCCTAAATCAGGTGCTTTATCCAACTAATGAAGGGACAAGTTTTATTCATCCCTTCACTTCGAATCATCATCACCAACAGTTTCTGTCAAACGATACCGTTTTGGACGACCACAACAGCAGCCAGCTTGTTGAGCTCATTCCACAGCTAGATAGCCCCACAGCTTCTTTGTCAGCTAGAGCAGTGAAACAAAATGGCTTCACAAATGAAGACAGTTACGGTCAAGAAAGGACCAGTAATAATAACAACGTTAACGATGGCCAAGGCATTGATTGGAAGAGCTTGGACAGCTTGTTCACTTCTCAGTTCGCAGACGATACCGCCACTGCTGCTTATTTTTCTCAACCAAACTTGCCCTTGGTACCACATAGTAGTCATGACCTACAAGTATTACAGCCTCAAAACCATCAAGCTAGCCATGTCCTGGGATGCTTTCCTGATTCATAACTAGGGCTTCGCGTGATCATGTCTCCGGTGCCTTGAAAATAAGTTTCTGATGTATTAACCAAAATGGTGGATTTCACCATCTTCATTATGTTATATATAATATATGTAGCGTTGTCCAGAAAATGGAAAGCCTAAAGGTCTTTTTAGCAGAAAACCTTTGGCAGAAAATTTTCTCCCCATATGAAAGAATTAAGATTCCTTGACAACTGAATCCCTGCCAAGTCTAAAGAATTTGAATAGAAACCTCTTTGACAAACTTTTGGTTCGAAGTTTGACTTTTCAGTGTCAATGTTTTTTCATCTATAAATGTGAATTTCTCTTTAATTTCTAGATTGCCATAATGAATTGGTTCTGCTTTACCGGCAAAGAAGCCATTTTAGTTCCATATCACTGTCCCAAAAAGAAATAGGTGGCAGAAATCCTACATGAATAGTTCAAGTTAAAAGAAAAAATTAAGATATATGGATCTAGTTTAGATAAAAGTAAGTTAATTATAAACCTGTAAGCATAATTCAGAGTGTCCTTCACATGCTCGATTAGTTATTTAATCAGAGTTGGTTCAATAATTAATCAACTTCTAATAGATTGGAAAGGGCTACTTTTGAAAAAATGGGCCCCAAGTCAAAGAACGCCTGCCGGATTCAGCTCACCTATCACTAATCTAATCAAGTTATAATTACCTATGATTCTCACGCATAAAGAAGAACCGAAAATTAATCACCCGTATGTATGTTGTACGCACACAGTAAAGTGTTTGGCTTCTTTTCCGTTACTTGTCTCTGTCCTCTTTTGAAATGTGACCTAATTAAACCGCTCATCAAGTGAGAACAGATTTTGAAATTTGAGTCTGAGTTTGTTCCGCAGGATATCAGAGCAGCACTCAGCACTTGAAAAGATCGACAGGATCCTCTGAAGTTGAGGATCCCTTAGTGAAGTTGATTTTCCTAATTTTACAAAGAGGAAAGGCAACACAACTTTACCAACCTCACCAAATTAAACTTGAGAGTTGAGAGAACGTTTTTGCTTATAGTAGTATTAAATAAGGGAACAATGACATTGAGGACGTCGAATAAACTAATTTGAAGTGAATGAAGATATCAATTGATTTTAAGAAACGGAAAATATATTAGGATCTGATGATATATATGTGAAGGAATGACTTTGAGAAGATATACGTAAGATTGTGCTTGCTATTTCAAAACGTGACTCAGCAACTATATGTCTTCATGTGCAAAGTTATGAGGGCGGCGCCGCGCGTTCAAATATGAAATCTATAAACTGTCTGGTATGTCTGGTAAATATGAAATCTATAAACTGTCTGGTTCTTAGTATAAGATTTGTTTGATTTTTATTTAGGTATTAATTATAAAATCCCAATCTATATTAATGAGAAGGGTGAATGATAATTGAGAAGTAGTATAAGCGAATAAGTATATATTTAGTTTCATGTATGTTGGAATGAACACCCGCCTGATAAATAGCTGTGACAGCTTCAAAACTCATGCTAAATATATACAAGACCCGGTATGCCTTGCACGGTTGCACCACATAGTAGCTAGTGTCTTTAATGAGATATATGGTTAATTAAAAATTGAAATTTTCTAAATTTATTTCTTAATTTAAGGGTAGCAATGTGTTCAGAATAAATCCATTTGAGGGAGCAGATATGCTTAGAATATTCATGTTGTAACCAATTCCTAAAATTAGAATATTCGATGCGCTACAAGACAAAATATATCCCATTGCCATCCCTCTTGTAATTTCTCAAATCCATCGTTCATTCCCCGGCTTTGTTTGTTTTATAAACTTCTCTCATGATTTTACTTACTAACTTAGCAATATTTTTTTTTTATAAAAAAAGCTTAGAAATAGCAACACAAAATGTTCATCCATTACAAAATGCTGAATCCCAAGTTTGGGAAATAGTGATAACATTATAAGTTAGATTATACTACCTCTTGTCCTAATTATAAGACATTACTTGTAGTCTATAAACGGAGTCTCATAATTAAGACTGGAGATAGTATTTTGTTACAAATTCTTTTTTTTTTCAAAAAAATCTCTTTGGAGAAAAAATACAATAATTAATGTGTTTTTTTGGGAAGTATGTGAACACAAAAATGAAACTTAAATTTAAAAATCCTCATTTGGTCACCTAAATAATGAAAATCCTCATTTGAGCACACGTGACCAAATTGAGATTTTGAAATTTGCTTAAAAAAAAACCAAATTGCCCTTTAATTTGTTTTTTCAAAAAACCATCAAGCATCCTCAGGAAACCCAACTATTTTTTGGGATTTTTCCAAGTCCAATAATAAGATGAACAACTTCTTTGATGTGATTAACAAGTTTGTTATAATATTTAACAACAGGTTTTTCAAAAAATTTAAAAATTGATATTTTTACAACTTTAGTAATGCGGTTAACAAGTTTTTTAATGCTATTAACAAGTTTACTATAGTAGTTAATAATAGGTTTTTCACAAAATTCAAAAAGTAGTATTTTTACAGTTTTAGTAATGCGGTTAACAAGTTATGTAATGATATTAACAACTCTTATAACAAGTCATTTTTACAACTCTTAGAACAATATTAACAATTCTTATAACCCATATTAGCAAGTCATTTTAATGGCACTATGACAGTTGTTAATATCGTTGCATGACTTGTTAACTGTATTTACTCAAGTTGTAAAAATAGCATTTTTTGAAAATTCTAAAAAAATATATTGTTAATTGTTATACTAAATTTATTAATAACATTAAAAAAATTTGTTGACCGCGTTATTAAAGTCGTAAAAATGCCAATTTTTGAATTTTTTTGAAAAAATTGTCGTTAAATACTATAATGAATTTGCTAATCGCATGAAAGAACTTGTTAATCATATTACATGGATTTGAGAAAATCCTAAAAAAGTTATTGATCATTGAAGCTCTGTTGATAGGTCGTCGGCCAACCACTAGAGCTCAAGCAACTGACAGCCCACTTGAACTCTGACAGTGGTTAGGGGCGCTAGAGCTCTGGTGACTGGCTGGCCAGTGAGGGTATTTGATGGTTTTAAAAAATAAATAGTAAAGGATAATTTGATCTTTTTAGCAAATTTTAAAATTCTAATTCAGTCATATATGCTCAAAAGACGGTTTTCATTATTGAGGTGATTTAATAGGAATTTTCAAATTTAACTGTCATTTTTGTGTTATTTTTCTGTGTTTTTTCTGTCAACAACACATCAACATGTATTAGTTCTCATGGAAGGAGCCTAGGCTGGGTACAAAAATACAAGATTCCAAGTTCAAATTTGTGTGTGAGAGTACGCAAAAAGCCTTTAGAACTAATGTCTCTAATTAGGACCAATACCTGCAATTGGATTGACATTGGTTAATTGTGACTTAGATAACCATATACAAATAACGTAACAATAACATCCTACTCAACAAATTTTGAATTCAAATTAATATTAAGATAATAGGGTATGAATTTACCAGAAATATTGGCATTGGGGATTGGCAATTTTAAGGCAAGTAGTTCATCAGCCCAAAAAAAAAAAAAAGGCCCAGTAGTAGTGTTTGAAATATTTTATTGAGGGTGAAGACTAAAAAAGGTATTTTATCGAGGGTAAATCGACAGCAAAATTACTCACATTATAGATCATCAACATTTTTATCATTTTTCAGATTAATTTCGATTAAGTTAGCATATTCATCCGCTGGAGACATAAAAACAGAGATAGATATTAAGTTAATTAGCACTCTTCTGGCCCTTAATATAAGAACCTAATTGTTAAATTGGTTTTGATCATAAATATAAGACCCATTTATCATATTTATCAATTTTTTTAAATTACTCCTATAAATACTCCATCAACCATAATCAAGTAGAAGAAAAAGATGAGGTATTAAAAAAGATAATTATGATATTTTAGGAAAAACATATCACATTTTTTATAATTAACTAACTTACATAACTTCTTTAATCTAATCAAATTAATGAAATAGCTCTTTTAAACCGGAAGAATATATTAATAATCTGTGGTATCGATCGATTAAACATAAATGACTAAATAAGACAATAAATTGCCGAAAAGTCAAATACAATGTACAATACAATTATGTATACGAGCTATATTTAATGGGAAAAAACAACTAAAAATACAGATGAATTAAAAATTGACCTTCTTCTCCATGAGTCATCAAAATCTTCCTCAGATCTCTTCCTCCACGTACATCAGCAAATTAATTTTGCTACCATCCGCAATCTGGCTCTTCTTCCCTCTCCCTCCCTCCAAAATCCTAGGGTTTTCTTTCGTTCACTGAGAATTGCTAGCTTTAGAGGCTTCATATCATCGCCCCATCAAATCTCGAGTTGACAAAGTCTCCCGTTTTTGGTTCATCCTACTGATACACGAAATTTGATGGACACATCCTGATTTGATTGATTGATGTGGCTCACCTACGTTTCCCCTCTGCGACTTCACAGTTTATGTCATTTTGGCACTCTGGCGCCACAAATGGTAACGCTTTCATGAAAGTAGCGCTGACTCTTTCTGGAGTTGCAATTCGTGCGTGAGCGACGCGCTAATCATGGCGGCACCGAGGAATCTGGTGGTCGATACTGGGAGGTTCATGAGGGATGAAGAGAATGGCGAGGAGGACGAGGACAAGAAATCCAAATTCGAGAGGTTTCCGCTTAATAGGTGGGAATTCGCGGCCGCGCTCGGCGTGTTCTTTGTTTTCTCCGCCGGTTTGATTTGTATTTACTTGACAATGCCAGCGGCGGAATATGGAAAGATTAAACTGCCACGCACAATTTCGGATCTTCGTATCCTCAAGTACGTTTACCTATCTTCCTGGAATGATTGTGTGATTAACGTCGATTCTGATTATGTTTATTGACCGGACACCTCCTGGATTTTGTTGACGAATTCAGCTGGTTTTTAACTTGTTTCTGCCCCGTTTATACCTTGAAATTAAGCTGAGATGGCTAATAACAATGCAATCTAGGCAGAGATGAAATAACCCGTGACGTGATCCTTGCTTAGTCTGGGAATTCAACAGGGTAGTTCTTCCCTTTTCATCTACTGGTTATAAATGGATTTCAAGCTTGTGCTCATTTATCATGATATACTGATCACTTTTCTACTCCATTGTGGAAGAATGATAAAGACTCGGTTGCTTGATTTCTTGATGAATACCATCAATATTCAGTTGCTCAGTTCAAAGTGCCGTCCCCCCTTCCCCCTTCATATCGTACTTTTCTCTCAACACCATTTTTCTTTTCCTCTTTTGTTTATTTGGCAGGGATCATTTTGCAACATACGCAGATAATCACCCAGCGCAATTTATTCTTGGTTACTGCTCTACCTACATCTTCATGCAGACTTTTATGATTCCGGGAACAATTTTCATGTCTTTGTTAGCTGGAGCCCTTTTTGGAGTTTTTCGTGGAATTCTGTTAGTTGTTTTCAATGCTACAGCTGGAGCATCATCCTGCTTCTTTTTGTCTAAGTTAATTGGCCGGCCTATAGTTTCTTGGTTATGGCCTGAAAAGTTAAGGTTTTTCCAAGGAGAGGTGCGATTTTTTTTTCCTTTCTTTTATTCAACAATCATCTTGAAGATTGTGAGACTTCTGTATTAACCTATTTTGCTCTGTTAAATCAGATAGCAAAGAGAAGGGATAAGCTGCTAAATTACATGCTTTTTCTGAGAGTTACCCCTACATTGCCAAACCTATTCATCAATCTGGCATCTCCAATTGTCGATATACCATTTCATATCTTCTTTTTGGCAACATTGATTGGTCTTATCCCAGCCTCTTACATTACTGTCAGAGTAAGTTTTTGTTCCCATCTTTATGCCATAGTATAATATGCTGATCCTTCCCCGTCAACACTTGTGTTTTACTGAACTTTTTTTTTTTAAGAGATAATTTTGTCTTTTCATCCCAATCCCATTTCTTACAGTTGCTCTGTTACCTTCTTCATTAGAATCTTTATAACAGAATAAAATTTGTTAGACATTCTGAGTATAAGATGGGTATCCAGTATTAGAGAACAAAAAGGAGGAAGAGAGAGAACGGGGGGTTGAAAATGCCATTTTACATATATTAAAGGTTGAATGGACTTGTTTGTCATGCCCAGAAACTCTTGCCAAATTGACTTATGCAGATAAACTTTAAAGCTTGACCACAGAGGGTCATTTTTCGTACCAGGTCATAACCATTGCTATAGCGCATTGTGCATCATGGCGCATACGAAAATATGAATATATCAGATATATTTAGTATTATTTAGGATAACGACAAATCAACATCAACACTGCGCAAATAAACCATTAATGTGTAGGAAAAACTAAACACATTCACAGCATAAGAATTTAAAAGTCATACATAAAGCAACACATCAAGTTCTTAAATCATAAATGCGTCAATCTGTGGCAAATTTTAGGAGATTATGGTGGGTGCCGGGTGGAGGGATTAAAACTTACTCAAAGAAGAGAGTAGTTATGGTCCTTTTTTATGTCGCTGGAATGTGCATGTAAAATGTGGATACTTGTTTCACTTTGTAATGAGTACTTATGGTCGTTTTTTATGCTGTTGATCATATTCTGGTTTCCATTTAGTCGTGATGTACGGATCTGAATGCATCCGGGAATTTTCTTTTCTTTTATAGCGGCTATTTGTCTGCAATTCGCTTTCGCTCTGTTCATATCATCTTCACTGTTTCTCAACCAGGCTGGTCGTGCTCTTGGGGATTTGAAGTCAGTGAAGGATCTATATGATTTCAAGACACTAGTTGTGCTCTTCCTGATTGGCTTTATCATCATATTTCCTTCATTTTTGAAGAGAAAGCGAATCTATGAGTAGAATTTGCAATGGCATGGCCGGCTTCATTCTATTGTCAAAGGCAAGTCAAGATGACCAAAACATTGAATTACAGTGGATAATATGATTACTCAAGATATCCATTAGAAAGGATATGTGATGAAAATATTAGCGTACCCTTTTATTTTCTTTTGGAGGCTCTTGAATTAATTACTCAGTGTGTAGCCTTGAGGCATCAGGAAGCATGCGGTGAATATTTGGCGAAGCTGTATCTCCAATAGCCGGACAGCATACAGGAATCGATTTTTCCTCTGTGCTATTATTACCTGTTCAATTATTAATAGTAATTAAGTAAAGATTATGTTATAGCGGCTGAAATCAACCATTTCTCTGGGGCACGGTTTGATTGTCGAGGTGAAAAGGAAATCATTTTTCATTTGCGGGATGATGTTTATTATGTTGTACTAATTATTATTCATTAAAATATATTATTTTTTTAGTAAGAAATGAGGTTCATCTCTCGTGTCCAAACTTGTTTTTATGTTTCTTTTTTGTTTTTTTTTTAATTTATTGTCCCCTGCACTTCTGCATGCCAAACAGCTGGTTAAAATATTCATTTTAATATTTTTGTTTGCTCTTTATTTATTTATTTTTATATATTGTTTTCATGGCCCTTGAGGAAAATTTAAGGGCAATAGTTTCTGTATTTTCTGTTGGTATGGAATTTTTCAGATCAGTTACACTATTATATTGTAAATATTCAAATTAAAATATTTAGTAAAGAAATGAAACTCATACAAAGTGCAAAAAAGATACAATAAAAATGAGCGCTCGGAACCGTGTGGCTATAAATATGAAAAAAATAAAGTAAAATAAAAAAGTGACTTGTTTGTCTTTACAAATTGCAATCGTGCTTCCTATCTGTACAATACATCAATTTGCTTAGTGTGTGTGAATCAAGATGAGTCATTTACTTGGAAGGCATCTGCTATATTGAAGTTCAAATTGCCTCTTGTAGTTCTGCCGCTGCCAAACCCTCCATCCCCCTGCTTCATCATTGCTACGAACTCCCCATAATCAATTCTCCCATCCTGCAATATCAGCCACACCATATTTGTCGCTTGTCATTCAGTCACTCATGGATCCACATATATAAATAAATAAGCCACAGATATTATAACAGAGTATTCCTGAAGTGCCTCTCAACCAATCTCTAATCACTTCAAAGCCGGTGTTTCAAATAGAATTCCAGTAGACTTGAAAAAAATCATTTAGGAACTTACATTGTCTAGATCAATCTCTGACATAACATCTAGATTCACGTCACCTAAGCCAAACTCTTTACAAGCCTGTTGAAGCTCATCAATGGTGATGTATCCACTGCCATCTTTGTCAAAATAGGAAAATGCTGCAAGTAAATTCTCCTCTCTTTCCGTCTTATTCATGTGCAATGTGGCAGCAAGAAATTCACCATAGTCGATTGTTCCACTTTGGTCTATGTCAGCCTGGCAAATTCACAAGGAAGTCTCCAAACTCAACATATATGGCACTAAAAATCATCGAATCATTTGAAATAATATCAAACCCCTTACTTCTAATACACCGTAGGATATTTACCTACCGCATCCATTAGGGATTTGATTTCGGATTCCATTAGATCAGAACCGACCCTTTTTAGACCTTCTTTGAGTTCCTCAAATGTTATAGTCCCGCTATTGTCTGTGTCAATCATCTTGAACAACTCTTTTAAACCACCGATTTCTTCCTCTGAGAGCCTTTCTGCTATCACCTGGAAAGGGATTTTATTTGCAATTCAATATTGCATTATTTGGATTAACACCTGATATGTAAGAACTGGACAGAACATATATATCATAAACGGATTCATAACAGGACATATAAACGGATGGACTGATTTTTAGTTGCGAAGGGACAATCATTTAAATCAATGATTTTATTTACTCTCACCAGAAGAATATAAATGCAACATACCCGTAATGCCATCTTCTTCACTTTATTCATAGCTGAGAACTGTTTCAGACGGGACAAAACCGCGGAATCCAGAGGTTTGTCAGGTGCAACATTATCATCATTTATCCAAGGGTGACCTGATCGAACAAACTCCATCATCTTGACATCATAATACGGAAGACAAACGTAAAAGCACACAACTACACAAGACTTGCCCCAAGAATTGCCAGTTAAAACTGGTATCAAGGATCTTACACAAGACTTCATGGGCAGAAATTCTTTTCTTAGGATCCTTCTCTAGCATTTTGCTCACCAAATCTTTAGCACTTTCTGATAAGCTTGGCCATGGGTCAGATTGAAAATCTGGCTTTCCTTGTAATATGTGTCTGAAAATGCCTGGTTCAGTTTCTGCAGGTGCTCGGAAAGCAAATGCAGCTCAGGGATAACGAATAATGAAAAGATAAGATGAGTGAACAACATATAGAGGACAAAGCTTCAGGCTGCAAATCCAAGGGAGTCACAGTCTCACAGATAAGTTTTAAAGAACATTACCGGCCCAAAAAGGTGGGACTCCACTCAGCAAGATGTAAAGGATAACTCCAGCACTCCATACATCTGCTTCTGGTCCATAACGCTTGCACAAAATCTCGGGGGCAACATAGTAGGGGCTTCCAACTACATCGGAAAAGGTTTGTCCTGGAGAAAAAACAAAAAGAAAAGTTGGTAGTGGTGATGATAGACCTAGCGAACTTAATACTGACTGCGCCAAAGTGAAAATAATTTTCAGGTCTAAAATGAGAACAAAGTATTGTGATGCAGAGCATTGCTCTTAAAATATTAAACTCCTAGCTACGCGTTTCTTTAGGGAAGAAAGAGTTCATTTGTCCACAGTGTTCAAGCCTAGTATTGCTTTTCAAGATTCCTTGTGCTAAGTTCCTATATCCCAAAAGGTGATCATGTCTTCTCGCCAAAAGGTAATGATGTCACAAGTCCTTTCACGGTTGTAAAAATCTCAAACACACTCAATTACTTCTTTCTGATGTGATAATTAATAGGGAAGCCCACAGTATTACATGCATCACAAAATTTTAGAGCGAGCCAAGCAAGGCGAGTTAAATAAGAAATATCAGGAAACCCTGTTACATGAACTTGAGGAGGGTAACAATAAATGATCAATAAATGTTTTTGAAGAATTATCATCGAAAAAAGAATGGAAAAGCCAAGTTATTACAGTCAAAATTAATCAATGCCAGCACGCAACACATAAAGCCCATTGGCCTATGAATCAACCATAAACCATTATTTATAGATCACAAAAGAAGCCTTGTGGCCAGTGCAAACACTTGCATGAAGGATTTTAATTAAAGGAGATTCAGCCTATCGACAAAAAGTGAGATTCGATAATAAAACAAGTCACAACTTTGATACAGTGGAGAGCTTGGTAATCTCGGGTGACAAAAATGAATAGGGAATTCCATGTAGACTGAACCTACACAACAATGCATGTCTTGGATACAATCTGAATTTTCAAACAAAATACAATCAATTGTTCGCATAATTCAAATGAATAATAGACGGGAATGAAAGATCAGACATCCAATTACCAACCTGGCCTGTAAAAGACAGAGAGGCCAAAATCCGTAGCCTTCATCTGAGCATCGTCACTAGAACTATCAAACAAGAAATTCTCAGGCTTGAGATCCCTATGCATGACCCCAAGAGAGTGACAAGCTTCGACCACGCCAACAATGGTCTTTATCAGCTTGACCGCCTCTCTCTCACTGTAATGCCCCTTTTGAATAATCCTATCAAACAGCTCACCCCCAGCACAAAGCTCCATAACCAGGTGCACAAACACAGCGTCCTCATACGTGCCTTGTATCCGAACCACATTGGGGTGCTCCGACAGATGATGCATGATCTGAATCTCTCTCCACACGTCTTCGTAATCCTCCTTGCACAAGAGCTTCCGCTTGGGAATCGATTTGCAAGCGTACTGTTCACCTGACACCTTGTGCGTACAGAGGTACGTGGTCCCAAATTGGCCTTGCCCAAGTTTCTTTCCCACAAGGTAATGGTCCCTTAGTCTAGGGGTTTCGTAGGGCAAGACCGCCATGGTTTTTGCTGAAGAAGGTTTCTTCTCCATCTCCGTTCAACAATGGTGGAACAGGTGAATTGCTTGGCCTCCAGAGATTAATGCTGGAGCTGGATTGTTGGTGGTTGGGATCGATACTCTTCTTGCTTCTACCTTGCGGTCGTTTTTCTCTCCCTCTTTTGCGGCGATGTTATCAGGAATCAGTTGTTCGCAATCTGGCTTATTATTAGTCAAGAAATGGCAATGGCGTTTACTATTATTATTATCGTTGGGATCGGCATCGATCTCATGGTTCCATTCACTGGATGAGAAGCCGCTGAGTTCCACATAGGAGAAGCCCCACAAGGAGAAGCCCCCAAGAAAGCATCGTGTTCTTCCTGCGCAAAAATGGAGCGCGCCCTACACTAGGAAAATCTATAAAAAATAGTAGTTTGGTCCATTAATATTTTAAATTAATTAATGTTTTAAAGTTTGTCCTTTTATTTATTATGTTTTAAATTTAATTAATCCTAAAGAAAAAAATGAACTTGTGATATCAGAAGAACCTTAAAAAAAATTTGATCACTTACAGAAATAGACTTATAATTTTAATTTATAAGTAAAATTTTAATAATAATTTACCAACATAATAATAATACATAAATATATAATAAATAAATAATTAATGTGTATATAATTATAAAATATGATTAAATATATTTATAAAAAATATGTTTATAAAAAAATAACCAATTGGGTCATATAGGCTCCACCTCTCCCTTTTGTTCCAAAGCAAAAAAATTTTGCTTTTCCATGGTTTTGGTTTTGGAGGGGGTGTATTGGGTAGATTATTCCAAACCTTGGTTGGGTCCCCAACCATGATTTGGGGTGTAACCCAACACACCCTAGTGTGAGTAGAAAATGAAAACACTTCGAAGTTTTGAGGCAGATAAAAAAATATAAATGCTTCTTCTACACGCGAGCCGTATTTTTGACGGATAGAGGTAATATTGTCTTATAAAAGGAATACAATTAAAGAGTTACTTTGAAATTAAATAGTTTTTTAATAGATTTACGAAATACGAAAAAGAATAAGAAAAGTTTATCTTAACTTAATAAAATGTATTTATAAAAGATTTTACTGTTGTGTCAAACGGGCCTAAATGGTTACCGTTGCTATGAGGAAATGTGCTCCTTGGAGGTCATATTCGAATTCAAACTTCAGTTCAACCTCAGGCAACACGTTCCCGTGTCCATTATTCACTTATTTTAGCTTGTCTTCTAGCAAAAAAAACAAAAATGGAAAGAAGGATCAAAGGAGCCTAACCTATTTTGAAGGGTGGAAATATTGTGTGACAGTTCTTTAAAAAATGATGATTTCAGGTCAAAAAAAAGAAAAAGAAAAAATGATGATTGAAGTTCTTTTCTTTCCAACTATATTTGTAACTTATTTTTATTTTAAATTTAATTTTCAACATCGTGTATATTGGTTGCAATTTACGCGGAGAAGCGACATGTTTGAATATTCTTCTTCTTCTTCTGCATAAATTTTGGTCGAAGGCTTGCTTGAATATTCGACGGAAATGAGTGATAGAGACTAATAAGACGCACTAATCACGAGCCACAACGAAAAATATGACTTTGTATTTTTTCCAGACTTCAAAAAAACACAATAAATCATTATTGAAGAAAAATGGGAAAAAATGAATCCAATTACCCAACCGAGACGACCCGATCGTTCCTGCTAGCTCCGAGGTGGTGCCATCGGTCTTGTCCAGCAACGCAAACACTGAGACACAGATCTGAAATCCAGAAGAAAGACTCTTCCAATTTCCCCGTCTCTTGGCACCCAGAAAGGGAAATAAACATCAAGCCGTGTAAATGTCGAGCGACAGCGAAGATGAGGACGAGCTCCTCCAAATGGCTTTGAAGGAGCAATCTCAACGGGATGTCAGTTATGGCAAATCTTCCGCTTCTTCCAATTCTCGCAAGCCTGTCGCTAACTACGTCCAGCCTCCCTCGTCTCAACCCAGGAGGGCTGCACCTGTGGTGAATAGCAGTGGCGCCAGGCCGATGCAGAGCAAGGGGAGTAGTGGCGCTCGGAAAGTTGAGGATGATGATGATGATTCAGAAGTGGAGATGCTCAGCATATCCAGTGGGGATGAGGATTCTACTAAGGATCGAAATGTGGGGTCGAGAAAAAGAGGAGGTGGCTCCGCTGCTGCTGGCGGCAGAGCGGGAGCGCAGGATGATGATCGGGCCTGGGACGGCGGGGAGCCTGCTTGCTGGAAGCATGTTGACGAGGCCGAGGTATGCGATGACTCGGGTTTATATGTGTGATCAGTTTTTACTGGATGGAGTTTCCAGCTCTCAAGTGATGAATTACGGATCATATTATCGTTCTTTTAGTGAATTACTATTTAATTTTGTGCGTCATGCTTCCCCTATTGGTTTGATATAAAGGTAAAAGTCGTAGAATTCGTTGTGACTAAACTGAAACAGTTGAGTAAGTTTGAGCTTATTAATATTGGGTGAACTTTTGATATCCATTAGTTATTGACTTATCTTAGACAACAATGCTGTCATTGTGTTGATATCATCTGTCAACATTCTCCTTGGCTGTTCCTCTGTGATGTTGTAGAAGTAGCAAACTGTAAAATGGATTATGGTATTTGTTTCGTGTACTTGTTTCTATGCTGATGTTGACCGATAAATAGCAGTCAAATAACCATATATTGGGACAGTAGTGCTTCAAAATGTTTGCATGTGGTTTTGTTGAGCATAGTTGCCTTCCTGGGAGAAGCAAAAGGAAATCCAGGTCTTGACACACCTGTCTGAATGCTCACTCTGTGGTTAAAGGTCTTTCATCCGGACAATGTAAATAGGATGTTAAATGAAAAAAAAATGGATTAACTGTGGTACTTTTCACAAATAACCTCAGTTAAATGGTTATAATTGGCTAGCTTTTTGAAATCAAAATTTCCGAAAATAGTGAAGAGTACAATAGCAAAGGTATCTATTTGAAACCCCCTAAATCTGGGGGAATGGTAAACATGGCTCTTTGAGGGCTTTTGAAGATGCTAAGTGGTTATTAAATGATGCTGATCATGTTGTTGCCTGTGTTTTTGTTGCTTTGTTTCTGTTCTGGGTTTTCTTTTTTATGTTTTCAGTGTCTTTTGCTTTACCTCTTCATTCTGAGACCTTTTAAAGATGAAAATTTTTTATGTTCCTGTTATGTTATTCAATTTTCTACTGTTCCTGTTATGTTATTCAATTTTCTACTGTTCCTGTTATGTTATTCCACCAATGGGCTATGCCTTTTCCTTTATGACCTGATTTAATCACTTACTAAAATTTGGGGGTATGGAAATGCTGTAATGCTGTACTCTGACGCATTTGTTTAGTAAAATCAGCATTGAAATTTGAAAACCACTTCTTTTTTTCGCTCATCTCTTTATAAAAAGGCAAACAAGGGAAAAATGCTTTACCTCCCTTATCTTTTAGGCCCATCTTATATCTTCAAGAGCATGTATTGTCATATGAGTGTCTCTTGTTCCTTGTGCTATGTGAACTGTTACTTATTATATCTTCTTTTCAGATGTTTTTCCTAGCACCTATTATTAATATTTCTTTCTGTTTAATTTAATGTAGTTGGGCTTCTTTGACAGCTTGCTCGTAGGGTTCGTGGAATGAGAGAATCAAGAACAGCACCAGTGGCTCAAAAATACGAGCGCAAAGTTTCAGCAAAGGGTAGAAAGGGACTCAACAACTTGCAGTCATTTCCTCGTGGCATGGAATGTGTCGATCCTCTGGGATTGGGGTAAATTCACTTTGACTTTTTGCCTAGCAGATACACTGTTTCCCGCTATTTCTCATGTTACCCTTATATTTGCACTGTCTCCACTTTCCATTATTTTCCATGTTACTGACGTTTAAAGAGTCCAACCATTGTGCTTAACTGTGACTGACAGGATCATAGACAACAGAACCTTAAAGTTGATCACTGAGTCTTCAGATGATTCTCCAATGAATAACAAAGATCATCTGGATAGCACCCTACGTGGTATTCCTTTTTGTTATTACATATTGTGTGACTTTTTTAATTTTTAAAGCAGTTTCTTTGCTGTGTTTGCTTTCATTTCCCATGCATATAGAATTTTTCCCCCCAAAAATAATGTTTGTTGCGACATGTGACTAGGAGGAAACAAGTGTCCAAACCATAAATTAACAGTCAAGAAGGAATGATGAGACGTTCGTTTGCATTTATTATTGCATGATCTGTATGAAGTCACATTATTTATAAGCCATGAATAGTGTGGCTTGCCTCAAACTCTATGTGAAGCTCGGGACCCACAATCTAGTTTTAAAAAAATGAGTAAAGTTGCTGTCCTAGGAGTGTGTTCTGAAAACTATCTGGAAACTAAAGCTAGGGTTTTACCTGGTTCTAGTGTGTCTAAGATCATTATAATGTGGAACTTTTGTTGTTTAGATTAGCTAAAGAACTTGTGTCCATTCGTATGGTTGATAGAATTTTTGATGCCACAACACAGAGAAATTGATGTATTTTTCGGAGAACTTTGATGCAAAGCTGTTTTTGTCACGGATACACCAAGAAACATCTGCTGCTGATCTGGAGGCTGGTGCACTTGCATTGAAAACTGATTTCAAAAGTCGTACTCAACAGAGAAAGCAACTTGTTAAGGACAACTTTGACTGCTTTGTCTCATGCAAAACCACAATTGATGGTATGGACTTGACCCTTGCTTGTTATTCAACTGTCAAAGAAGCAAGCTATTATTCATAGATTAGACAACAGGTAGTTCTGTCACCCTCAAGTTCTAGTTGTCCCTCCTCGGATGATCACAGATATGAGTAAAATCTAAATTTAGTAGTGGCACTAGCATTATCTAGGAATGTTCCTTCATTTTAACTTAAAACGTATTTTCTCTTATGCAGATATTGAGTCTAAGCTGAAACGGATTGAGGAAGATCCAGAAGGGTCTGGGACTACCCATTTGTTTAATATTATTCAAGGGGTTAGTGTGCAGGCCAATCGTGCTTTTCAGTCTTTATTTGAAAGACAGGTATGCGATATCTAAATTCTAAAATTCTTCTGTAGCTGTTATTCTAGAATTTACGTACTTTTTTATATTTGTTCTTGCTGAATTTTGTAGGCTCAAGCAGAAAAGATCAGGACTGTCCAAGGAATGCTACAGAGGTTCCGGACACTATTTAACTTGCCAAGTACTATCCGTGTTAGCAT